GCTCGGAGCACAGTTTCAGGACGCGGGGAGGAATGCAGTCCGGGCCTGCGGCTTTCCGAGCTGTGGTCCTGGACAAGACCCGCCGTACTTCATCCTGAGTCACTGTGAAGGCACCCTGACATTCGGGGAAGACAAAAGGCAGGGGATCAGCAGATTCAAAGCGGCAGTAAAAGTCATTGAGCTCGTTTGGCAGAGTTTGGCCAGCAGCACTTTTCCCTGCACTTGGTTTCCAGGACGTGATAAGACTGATCCCCTTCCACATGCGTCGAGGGTCCTCTTCCCCAAAGAAGCCCTCTAACTTGTCCCCATAGGAACGCTTAGCAGCTTTTATAGAGCGTTCCACAGCGTAGTAGGACAGTTTGTAAGCACCCCCATCACCGGATTGAAACGCCAGTGTCCGCTCATTAATTCTAAATTTGACATCAGTGTTCATCCAAGGTTTTTGGCCGGAGTGTTCTTTGATAACTTTATAGGGGACACAACAGTCAATGCAAAATTGTATGTATCCTGTCACAGCCTCACAGAATTAATCAACATTCTCAGAGTTAAAAAACAGACCAGTCTGTGGCATCAAAGCAGCCCTGCAGCTTCATGTTAGCCTCCTCAGACCAGCACTGCACAGTGCGGGAAGAAGGTTTGTGCTGTTTGTTCCTCTGTGTATAAGAAGGAAGAAGGAGAACAGCGGAGTGATCAGACTTCCCAAAAGCAGGTCTGAGACTGGACCTGTAAGCTGCCTTCACGTTACTATAGCAGTGATCCAGGATGTGCGCTCCCCTGGTAGGCTGACTCACATGCTGATAAAAGTTCGGTAATACAGACTTTAAGTTACATTTATTAAAATCACCACCAACTATAATCACAGCATTGGGGTGAGCAGCTTCATGTTTATGCAAAATGTCACTTAAGTCATTCAGTGCAGCTGTACAGTCAGCCCGAGGATGAATATATACAGCACATAAGAAAATCACTGAGAATTCTCGGGGAAGATAGAACGGGCGGCATCTCAAAACCAGACACTCCAGGTTAGCAGAGCATGTTTTGTTTACAATACAACTGTCAGTGCACCAGCGCTGGTTAATTAAAAGACACACACCTCCACCTTTCGATTTCCCCGTGCTCTCCTTCTCTCTGTCCGAGCGGAAAATGGCGAATCCCGGCGGCTGAACAGCTGAGTCCGGGATATTCGGATGCAGCCACGTCTCGCTGAGGCAGTACACTGCACAGTCCCGAGCCTCGCGCTGGTACTGTATTCGGCTCAGGAGATCATCTGACTTGTTCGGGAGAGACTGAATGTTTGCAAGGTAAATGGGTGGCAGTGGGACCCTGGGGGCGCGACTCGCACGAGAAGCCCGCCACGCTTTCCCCGGTGTCTGCGCTTCCTCCGTCGGCGAGAGACACCCGGCTCCGCACGGTGGTGAACACGGGGGAGGCGCCCGGCCTCATCGCCCTGTTCCCAGTCTCTGTCGCGGTCCACACGCCGCTCTCCTCGAGCTGGGCACTCGTCAAAGCCATCACACCTCAGAGCAGGCAACACTGGCTCACAGGCCAAGTCCCGTATGTCCAGGAGAGTCTGTCGATCATATACCACAGTGGCAAGTGTTTTGTGAAAGGATAAAAACAGCATAAAAATCACGGTGCACAACGGAGCTCTTGCAGCGGCGCCCTGGCACGGCGCCATCTTCTCATGTGCCAAGCAGCGTGGCACATGCAGCGTGCCACGCGCCGAACTTTGAGAGTGCATTTTGTCCAGATATTTGACACTTTGTTCATTCTATTCTTAGAGCACCACATCAAAGCCTGAAGCGGAGATTCAGAATACGAACTATGCTCCAGTGTCAGCCACGCAGTTTCTTCATTTTGTCCTAGCCACTCAGCTGCACCACGCCACTGTGCTGCCCAGTAATATAGTTTTAAATTTGGTAGGTTAAGACCCCCGCACCTTTTAGGGTTGGTCAGTTGTGAGAATTTTATTCTCGGTTTCTTCTGTTGCCAAATAAATTTAGAAATCATAGTTTGCAGCTTTTTAAATATACTTGCTGGTATGAAAATAGGAAGAGACAAAAATAAATATAGTAACCTGGGGAGAATGTTCATTCGAACAGTTTCTATTCTTCCAAAAAACGAGAGAGGCAAGATCTCCCATCTATCCAAATCCTTCCGTATTTGCTCAATTCATTTTCCAAAATTTGCTTTGTACAGCTAAGAAGTATCTGATGTAATTACAACCCCCAAGTATCGAAACCCCTGTGACCAGTTGAATGTAACCTTTTTGGATAACTCAAGAGGCCATTGGCCCTTAATCATCATCGCTTCAGATTTGGAATTGTTTACTCTGTAACCCGAAACCTCACTGTACATTTTCAAGCATTTTAAGAGTTCCGGTATGGAGGTCACGGGGTCTCTAATGTATAAAATTACATCATCTGCGTACAGTGACAATTTATGGGTCCTTGTTTTGTCTGATATACCCAAGATTAAAGGGTCACTTCTAATTAGTTCGGCCAAAGGCTCAATACTAATAGCAAACAAAATTGGTGATAATCCGCAGCCTTGGCGAGTGCCTTTTTTTTAAAGGGAAACTATCAGAAATATACCCATTTACACGTACCCTGGATGTTGGGTTTGAATAAAATACATCAAACCACTCATTAAACTTTCCATCAAAACCCATTGTTGATAACACATGCTTCAAGAACAACCAGTCCACTCGGTCGAATGCCTTCTCAGCATCGAGGCTGAGAAGCATTGACGGGTGGGATCTCTCCCGGGCAGTTGTCATGATATTAAGAGTGCGCCTAATGTTATTGAATCCAACTCTTCCAGGTATGAAACCTGTCTGGTCTGGTCTAATCAGTTTGTTAATTACTCTTTGAAGTCTTCTAGCTAGTATAGCAGTCAAAATTTTCACATCATTACATAATAAGCTAATAGGCCTATAGGAGCCGCACTGTGTGGGATCTTTCCCCTCTTTGTGTATGACCGAGATTAAAGCCTCTGCCCACGTCTTTGGAGGATTTTTAGAATTTAATGCATAATTGAATACTCTATGCAAAATAGGAGTGAGCTCACTTTCAAAGCATTTATAAAATTCCCCTGGAAAGCCATCAGGGCCGGGGGATTTATTGTTTTTTAACTTTTTGATGGTGAATCTTATTTCTTCCTTAGTTATATTCTCTACTAGAGTCATTGTCTTCTAATTTAGGGAGTTTGATTTGGTGAGGAAACTTCTTGATTTTCTCTGATTTGTCCAAGGAGGTGGCAGACTCATATAACTGGGTGTAATAACTCGAGAATGCGTTTGCTATTTCCTTGGGATGAGACACTATTTTCTTTGAGGTGGGACACGTCATTTTTTGAACTATTCGACTGGACTGGAATTTTTTAAGTTGGAAGGCAAGCAACCTACTTGCTTTATTTCCCTGTTCATAGTACTTTTGATTGGAAAAGCGTAAGGCTCCCTCTGCTTTATAGGTCAGTATATCGTCTAATTTATGTCTACTCCTAATGAGTTCTGTCAGAGTGTTGTCATCATTTGTCCTTTTATGCTCCTTCTCCAATTGTTCAATTTGTTCTTCTAAGTTCTTCAAAGTCTTCTCACGTTCGTGTTTCAAATGTGATGAGATTGATATAATTTTCCCCCTAAATACCACCTTCGCAGCGTCCCATAAGGTCGAGGGAGAAATATCATTATCGTTCAAGTCTAAATATTGTTTAATCTCATTTTTAATAGATTGAACAACGTCCGGGTTAATCAAAATTGACACATTCAATCTCCATATTTTAGGTTGTTTGTCCTGATCCAAAGTGATGGACATCACAACCGGTCCATGATCAGAGATTGTTTGAGGCTCAATGCGACAATGTTTTGCTCTATAGGCCTCCTGAATTGAGATACAGAAAAAGTCTATTCTAGAGTGACTTTTATGTACATTTGAAAAGTGGGTGTAATCTCTAACCTTTGGATTCTTTGCACGGCAAATATCGATGAGCCCCAGCTCCTCCAATAGATTGCACAGCACTTTCGATTTTGATGTTTGATATTTTTGTCCAGAGGGGAATTTATCCATTTGATGATTCAGTACACAGTTGAAATCTCCTCCTAGAACTACTATTCCTTTAGAATTTCCTGCTAGAACTTGAGCAACGTCCCTGAAAAAACCTGGATTGTCTTTATTTGGCGCATAGAGATTCATAATTGTTAAAACATTTTCCCCAATAGTGCCAATAACCATTACCCAGCGGCCATTTTTATCTTTAAGAACTTTTTCTGGTGTAAAACATAAGGATTTGTGGCATAGTATGGCTACTCCCCGTTTTTTATAATTTTCATATGAGGCGCAGAAAATTTGTCCCACCCACTCTCGTTTTAGCTTTGTGTGTTCAATATCATTTAAATGGGTTTCTTGTATTAGCCCAATAGTACAGTTCAATCTTCTTAATTGTCCTAATACTTTCTTCCTTTTGATAGGGTTGTTTAATCCATTTACATTGTAACTAACAATACTCAAATTTTCCATAATGAAATGTACCTGAAATCAAAGTTTACCTTGACAATCTTTACAAAATAATTAACTATCTGCTATTACCGTCTGCAAATAAGTAAACAAGTAAATAATGAACGCGAACAAAAACAAAAACTATGAACTTCCAACAATGCCGAGGGTTGCTTTTGATAGTTGCACTGATGGTCAACATAAGTCCAAGTGCAACCCCCTCCCAGGTGTGAAAAGGGCAGGGAAGCAAAATTCCCTGGAGCAGGTACACAAAAAGCGTAAGCAGCAGTCTGCATTTGTCCAAGTCTCTGCTGCAGTAATGCCCCGGTCCCACTGAGGAGGGAAAAAGAAAAGAAAAAAAAAGGACACAGATTTTCCTGTGCCAGCCCAAACTAATAACAAACTTTCACCAGAAATTGCCTGTAATATTTGTGTCTGATTTAACCTTTCACATCACCCACCGTTCCATACTGTATCTATACTTGTATAAAGCACCTGAGAGATGTTTTATTCTCCAGCCATGTCATCTTGATCTACGCCGCTCAGGATGGCCCTTATTTCTCTGGGAGTGAGGTTTGGCTCTTCTTTCTTGCGCCTGCCTTGGGTGCTCCATCTGTTTTGGAACTCTCTTTCCAAAATGTCCCGTTCATCAATCTGCACGTTCACTTCTAAGCTCTTTAGAGTTGACTGGGCGTCACACAGAGACGGGAAAGTCTTAACACCCGAGTCCAGAAACATGCGTAGCTGAGCTGGGTATGGTACTTGTGTCTTTAAGCCTTTTGACAATCTCACGCACCTGCTTCCTTTTCCTCTGGAGTTCGGGTGAATAATCCTGATCAAAATAGATACGTTTTCCTAGAAACTGCACCTCCCGCTGCTTCCACGCCTGTTGGAGCACCACTTGTTTAACACTAAAGTCCAAAAACCGAACAATTATGGATCTTAGTGGCGCTGTCTCCGCAGGCTTAAGTGTAGTTGCTCTGTGGGCTCTCTCAAGTTGAATATGCAAATCCTCCTGCAACTGTAAACATGTCTTGAACAAGTTCGTAACGAACTGGGGCATATCTGCACCCTCCGCGCCCTCTGGCACACCATAGACTCTAACATTGTTTCTGCGGAGTCTGTTTTCTAGGTCTTCTTGTCGTGCAGTTAGCTTAGCATCCTTGTTTAACAGATGGGCTAATGCTCTTTCTTGCCGCAGGCCTCTGTCCTCCGCATTACTCACTCTGGATTCCGCAGAGTCCATCCGCTGTTCCAGTTCCTCCATTCTCGCGGCAATCTCTCCCATGGATGCCTCCATCCGCGCTTGGGATTCTATGATGTCTTTCTGAGCCTCCCCAGATTCCTTGCGAAACTTTCGTAGTTCTGCTAGCATCGGTGTTTCACCACTGCTATCACTGCTAGCCATGCTAGCCTCCAGAGTTAGCTGCTTCTGACTCGCTTTCGGATCCTCGCTTTTACCGGCTTTAGAATCCTTTTTTGATGTTCGCTGACTTGAAGACATGTTCAGAACAAACTACCACGATGCTTCGGCGGTATATGTGCAAGTTAAATGATATTTAAAGGCAATTTAAACGTATATTCGGGCTTAGCACGCCACTCAAGCAGCCGGATGGGGCATGAGCGGATCCGGAAGTCTTGATTGACTTTTAAATATAACATAAACATGATTCCTGCTCGAATCTGTAGCGTTTCACTGATTCACTGTCATCCAGTGTATAGAATTGTAGGGTAATAACATTACTGTAAGCTATAAATTGTAAGAGATGAATAGTGCGGCTAGTCTCCAAATCAGAGTCTGGCCGTCCTATTCGAGTGGGGGATCTGCTTTTATTTTTGGGCACCAGCAGAGTTAAAACTTCTGCACAGATCCAATTAACTTTGCCTCGAGTCAGTCTTATAATCTAATAGGTAGTGAATGCGTAAATCGGCCAGTGATATCCGAGATTTAAAACACGACGCTTAAATGATTGAGTTAAAGTTAACGTGAATTTATTGACTACAAAAATTGAAGATAGAAAATATAACGAAGGGGATTTCTGGTCACATTAAACAGAAGTTGTATACATCTCATTTGAAACACACATCCAACAAAGGAACAGTCTTACTTTGAGCCGTTCAAGGGAGATGTTGATGAAAAGAGGAGGATGGAGAATGGAGATGAAGGATGAGGATGAAGAATAGGATGGAGGCGATGTTCTCGTCCACGTGGTCTTTGTTCGAACAGGGAGCAGGAGGAAGCCAGCAGATCGGATCCAGGCGTGGGTTCCACACACAACACGGTCTAGAATAGCGTTGCGGTGGGGTGTTCCAGGGAGCCCGAAAGTGGCTGGCGATGGAAGGTCCTCGTCTCCGACAGCGAGAGTGGCTGCTGTCCCCGTGGATGTACAGGCCCGAGATGGTGGCGGGCGTAGGTCGTGTAGGAGACACGTACCGAAAGGAATAGTTGACAGAGTGATTTCGGGAAAACCAAGAAGAAGTTCTGTTGCATTGTGCGTGTTTATATTGACTTCAAGAAGGGGGCACGTCCTTGACGTCATCCATGTGCGACAACCCTCTCACAACAGGCAGTTTACAAGGGAAACACACAGGATTAATACAGACGACCATAACACATTGTACAAACACACACCGCAGTTCATTACTCGACAATGATACACACATGTAGGGCACGGTACAGACGTATTGGGATAATACAGAGTCAGGAGCTGGTCTACACCATGTCCGTGCCGGGTGTGATAGTGTTCAGTGTTCACTGGGGGGCGCCAGAACGCCGTGGGTGAGTCCCAGGTTTGTGGAATGTTCCATGAGCGATAGTGGGTGAATGATACCTGATCTCTGTCAGGCAGAAGGGCACACCGATGTTTGTTCTGCTGTTTTATTGCCCTCTGTCTGTCTCCTTGCAGTGTCCTGGCAGATGTTTAGCCTTTCATTGAACTCGTAGTTTCTTTGAAGTTCTCCGGAGCTCGGGAGGGGCATGTTTACGAAAAGGGCTGTTATTCACGCTCGACTGGAGCCTGCCCTCTTTCTCACCTTACAGAATATTTCTCCTGTCTCCACCGTCCACCATTTTGTCCTCTTAGGGAACTTTTAAGTCGCTAAAAGTCCTCCTCTCAACTCTTAAGGGATCTCCCCTTAAGAGCACTCTTAAGAGCTAGGATTCTTTAGGAATAGCTTTTATCTTAACTAGGAGCTACTCACTTTTAGGGGAAATTCTAAGAGTTGGTCAAGATTCTAAGAAAAAAATCTTTCTAAGAAAAGAATTTGGCCACTAGGAGCAACTTTAGCACTAAGAATCTTTAGGAAATACGGCCCCAGGATGTCATTAGGTGTCTTCCTCAGATGTCTCCTGTTGCGTCTGTATTGTTGACCTGAAGACGTCACGATGTTATAGGAACGTGGCTCAGTGCGTGAAGTGGTGACAACTGCAGGACGCCACCCGCGCTCGGTCTGCATGTGCACTGTTCCTCCTGCAGGTAGCTCTGGAAGCTTCTTTGTGCCCCTGTTGTAGTATGTGCACTGCTTTTTGCGGGAGGTTTTGAAGAGTAGAATGCACATTCGTTGGGATAGATGGTTGTAAAACACTCCCTGAGCTCGGTAGTGTCCATCTGAGTACCCTACCCTAAGCATTTGTGCCGGAGAATAGTCCATACAGGTTATAGGCTGTTTCTCAGCGTTAATAGTGCGAGAAATGGGTCGGAGTTAGTGAGCTTGGCCTTCTTCAACAAATGTTTTACAGTCTTTTACAGTTCTTTCTGCAAGGCTATTTGACTGAGCATAACCGGGGCTAGAATGAGTCATTTTAATGCCCCACGCCATCGCAAATGTTCTCATCTCTTGGCTCGCAAATGGCAGCCTGAAGGCACACAAGTAAGTATTGAAAATACAAGGCAACCGGTTCCAGTTAATTTACAAAATGATTTATTACATAATGTATTTAATTAACATTTATTGTTAGGATACAGTTACACAGTTAAGATACTATTACATTAAAAAGCGCTGGTGTTGAAATAAAAGTGGTTAATACAAGTTAAATTCCAGCTGCCTGCCTGACAGACAAGACCCTGGGCAAAGAGTGTGCACACGGGCACCCTGGTCCGCGTCACTGGTTGCCGTCTGGTTAGGGACACACCAGTGCGTGACCTGGACCAGACGGGGAGAAGCAGGCAAAGTGGGACACAAAACAGAGGGCAACAGAAAAACAGCAGTTTACAGCAGAGGACAAAACAGTAGAGAAGACAAAACAGCAGAGGAGGCAACGTGTCAGTGCCACTGCAGACCTCTGAGGACACCTAGAGAAAGGATTAGAAATTTGGGAGATTACTGAACTGATGTCCCTCACCTCCCCCCTCCTGGACCCCCTGCAGTTCGCCTACAGAGCCAACAGATCTGTAGACGACGCCATTAACCTGGCCTCCACCACATCCTACACAACCCGTCTCCACCGTCCACCATTTTGTCCTCTTAGGGAACTTTTAAGTCGCTAAAAGTCCTCCTCTCAACTCTTAAGGGATCTCCCCTTAAGAGCACTCTTAAGAGCTAGGATTCTTTAGGAATAGCTTTTATCTTAACTAGGAGCTACTCACTTTTAGGGGAAATTCTAAGAGTTGGTCAAGATTCTAAGAAAAATCTTTCTAAGAAAAGAATTTGGCCACTAGGAGCAACTTTTAGCACTAAGAATCTTTAGGAATACGGCCCCAGGATGTCATTAGGTGTCTTCCTCAGATGTCTCCTGTTGCGTCTGTATTGTTGACCTGAAGACGTCACGATGTTATAGGAACGTGGCTCAGTGCGTGAAGTGGTGACAACTGCAGGACGCCACCCGCGCTCGGTCTGCATGTGCACTGTTCCTCCTGCAGGTAGCTCTGGAAGCTTCTTTGTGCCCCTGTTGTAGTATGTGCACTGCTTTTGCGGGAGGTTTTGAAGAGTAGAATGCACATTCGTTGGGATAGATGGTTGTAAAACACTCCCTGAGCTCGGTAGTGTCCATCTGAGTACCCTACCCTTAAGCATTTGTGCCGGAGAATAGTCCATACAGGTTATAGGCGTGTTTCTCAGCGTTAATAGTGCGAGAAATGGGTCGGAGTTAGTGAGCTTGGCCTTCTTCAACAAATGTTTTACAGTCTTTACAGTTCTTTCTGCAAGGCTATTTGACTGAGCATAACCGGGGCTAAAATGAGTCATTTTAATGCCCCACGCCATCGCAAATGTTCTCATCTCTTGGCTCGCAAATGGCAGCCTGAAGGCACACAAGTAAGTATTGAAAATACAAGGCAACCGGTTCCAGTTAATTTACAAAATGATTTATTTACATAATGTATTTAATTAACATTTATTGTTAGGATACAGTTACACAGTTAAGATACTATTACATTAAAAAGCGCTGGTGTTGAAATAAAAGTGGTTAATACAAGTTAAATTCCAGCTGCCTGCCTGACAGACAAGACCCTGGGCAAAGAGTGTGCACACGGGCACCCTGGTCCGCGTCACTGGTTGCCGTCTGGTTAGGGACACACCAGTGCGTGACCTGGACCAGACGGGGAGAAGCAGGCAAAGTGGGACACAAAACAGAGGCAACAGAAAAACAGCAGTTTACAGCAGAGGACAAAACAGTAGAGAAGACAAAACAGCAGAGGAGGCAACGTGTCAGTGCCACTGCAGACCTCTGAGGACACCTAGAGAAAGGATTAGAAATTTGGGAGATTACTGAACTGAACTAAATCCTGAATGAAAAAGTGGGGAACTACAAAAATGGGAGCGAAACATACCGCTGAGGTGAGCGACTGCGCACGGTCCCGACACGAAAGGCCAAGGGATGGAGCATGGAGCAGGCTACTGCTGGTGTGGCCAGTCCTGCAGCGTGGCTGAAATCCACTTTAAATGCTTTTAACATTTACACAGACACAGACGAGAGAATGGGCCGAGGTGATCTTACCTGTACCACAGTGCACAAGTGTGCGTACCAGAGTGGTGCAGCAGCAATGAAATGCTGTGTGTCGCAGTGATCAGACAGTGGCACTAAATGGAGAGTGAAGCGGCTCCTAAGTGCCAGAATTTTGGAAGGATATTGCATGTTGTTGTCTTAGGGCCAGACTCTTCATTTACCTTGCCTGTGTGAATGTGGTGGTGATCGAAAGGGCAGAAGGCACAAAATGGCGGCCTCACTTTGGTCTACCCGATGGCAGCTGGGCAGGTTAATAATAATGTCAACAATGATGTTAAAATAAAATCCTCCCCTCTCCATATCCCTCTCTGCCCTCCTCACTGTATTCCTCCATCCCTCTCTCTCTCCTCTTCCCTCTCCCTTCAAGTCTATAAAACTGGTGTAACTTCAATGATGATGATCAATAATGTTCATTGTGCTTTTGTAGCGGG